GACAGCAAATTTTTCCTCTAAACTCCAAAAATTATTTATCTGTTTAAGCCACGAAAAATTATCCCTTTAATGTGTCATTATTTTACATTAGCAATATCTCAGTCGTTATTGGGATTTACATAATTTAGCCTCACATTGTATTTGCCTTGTGTTAATATTAATAAGATTAATTGTTATTTTTAAAGTTACTTTGTTTTTGAAGTTTGATTTGAAAAGGAAAAGTAATGCAAAAAGTTCAAGAGTAAAAAATAAAATTGCGTTATAACGGGCGAGTTTAACCTAATAAAAATTTATTTTGGTAAACAAACGTATTTTGCAAATTAATTTTCCACATAAACGTAGTACTCGCAGGAAACTTCAGTCGTGCGATTTACTTAGAAATTATGAGGTAAATTTCGATCGGTCAATGATTAGATGCGAATGACTACGTTTTTTATACTCGCACTAAAACCTTCTGCAAGTAACGCACTGACTTAGGAACTAGGTGAAACTTAATACGAGTATAAACTGCTTAACAAAATAAATGTTACAGAGCCAAATGTGCCCTAACTTTGGAACTGAATAAATTCTGATAGCTGTAATATATTTGATTTCTGTTTAAAGCGTTATCGAGTCCAATTTTTCTTCAGTCAAATCGTGTTTTTTCAAAAATTTGGTCCTTCAGACAACTTTCTTACAGAGTGAAAAATAAAATAATGCAAACTTGCTGAATGTTTGGCATGCTCCCAGTTGCCCAAAAAGTGTGTTTATGGCTTTCAACACCAAAGACATAAAGAAGAGCCGCAGAAAGACCGTATATCTCGAAACGGTTCTTGATTTTTTCGCCCATCTCTTGTATTTTACAGGGTGTTTTCGAAAAATCCACATTTTAGTTTTGCTGTGGTAACATTTTTCCTCTTGGACCGTCTTGCAAAATATAGCACTTCATGGCTAATGAAGAAAAAKTGTTTTATTTTTGCCACCATCTATTGACCGAAAAACCCWCAAACCTAAATAGGCGTCTTTTACTGTTTATCTGCAGCACTAAATTTTTGYAAAAGCACTCACTGATAGAAGAACAATTGGACTAGGAATGTTCTCAAACAAAAAAATCAAATCCTTCGCACCAATTAAAAGTTATCYAGTACCAAAGGTAGGGCAAATTTGCCRTGTTATGATTATTTTGTTGAGCAGTTTAGCAGATACAGGGTTATTCACGCTATACGGCACGGAAGTTTSCGGCTAAACCGCATTTATTTTTTAAATTTTAAATTTTTAAAAGTAATTTAAATACGTATATATAAGTATTTTAAAAAGTATTATTTTATGAATTGTCCGACGCCTACCGAGCGCACAWKTTAAAAATATTKTYGTAATGTACAGGGTGTCCCAAAAGCTYTAAAGGTATCGTTGTTGTTGTATCAAAGTTGCGTTTTTTWAAATGGAATGTCCTGTATATWATTGCATTTTTGGATTCGCTGAACAAAATAAGTGTCTGTCTGTTTTAATAAGGTTTATGACACCTAAATCTTAAGGTTTTTTAAATAATACGRATTTAATCAAAATCTAATCTAATTTTCACGTGTCAAATACTTTAGAAGTATTTAAGTTATAGATAAGTTCTATATTGTTGAGGCGGATTCATTTTTTTACAAACTT